ATATATATATATATATATATATATATATATATATATATATATATAACTCAATGTACGCTTTCATTCTCTCATGAACTGTACATAACATCACCCATGTCCAGATGGTTCCAAACAGATCACGATACAATTATCTTTATAACAGAGTAATTAATAGCTATAGCAAGTTGTCGCAGCTCAAGTGGGGGATTTTCTTGGAGCAGCTGGAACCGAAGCCTTCGCCTAGCCGGCAAGGCAACTGGATTGTGTGAAAACCGCAATCCATTCGAGTCAGATANTTCACTTAATCGGATTATGTGCCCTTTGGACTGGGTCCAACGTTAAGTTGCCCAACACACCTTGATGCCCAATCGGGCCGGTGACTATCACTAAAAACAGGAAGGTGCGCGTGTGGTTTGTACACCCCTTCTTGCTTTTTTTGGAACAAGGACTTTTAACCAACTTCGTTCAGTGAAATGCTAACACTTATAGCCTCGAACGTTGGCTTTTGTCCACTCAGTTTGGTGCAAAAACCGCCGCACAAAGATAGAGAGTAGGACTATCACCAAAGAGAGTATTTGAGACGATTGGTCGTATAAGAACATTTTACGAGGTGACTACGACCCACCCATCCCCGACAATACTGATGCTTTTGGGATGAATGACTCTCATTTTCCTCGATGGAATCTAAGGTGGTGAGAAATTCCTGCAGCTCGTGAATGGATGATTTGTTATACAAATTGCTGTTTCGGTTTCAAACATTCCTGTATCAAAGAAACCCTATTAAAACCATAACTTGTCACTGACGACGTATGGAGTTTGTCTACAGCGTGACATAACAGTAAAAGATCGAAGATGGACCTTCCGTGTACAGCTCTAATGTGAGACAGTGAAATACTATAACTTAGCATAAAATTTAATGTGGCATGTCGCTACAAAAAGCGAATTGTGAACTTATTTTTTGGGCGTACCGTGCTTTGCTTGGTGCACAGTCAGCACTCATAAATGTGAAATTGGAAACACACCAAAGCCCTTTCTCTGTACTAATATGCAGGAGTAACTCAGGTTCATATCATATGGTTTTTCTTACATCAACTATGACGGGGAAAAAACATAATGCGACTGCATCAAGAAGACAGTGAACGACTTAGAAAGACGAATAAAACGAAAAAGTAAGTAAACACCGATGCTCCTGACACTTTATATCCCCTAGTGTTCCCGGTTAGAATAAGGTAGGTCACCTGTAAGTCTGTACTGAACAGTTTTAATCGCCTCCTTAACAGAACTTGTAATCAAAAATCATCCACACAGACAAGTGATATCGAGGAAATTTCTCCCGTCGGAATGCACAACCTACCGCGATCCGTAAACGCTGAACACTTATGTGTCATCGATCGAACCCAAACACCATAAAGCTCTGATGAGTGCATAAAGACAACGATCCCCGAAAACAAGTAGCTTCTGTGTAATTTCCACATGTAATCACCAAATTGCTGTGTTATGGGCAAATCACTTGATCATGAACGTAGCCGAAAACAAAGACTAGCAAGTGACAATGGATTTATGTGGATGTGGTGACGATTCCGTATATTCCATCATATGAAGGGATGAGACAGGGTGTAGATAAGGAAGTTTGGATATTTATTTATGTCCGGAAACCGATTGCTAATCAAGGACGTAAATGGTGAACTCCCTCAACGAATTTTTATAATGCGACCCTTGGGTCAGACCACTAAATTTGTACAAGAAACAGAAACACGTTTTTATTTTCTGGGGTGCGGATTTTACTTCTTGGGATTTCGTTAATTTCCCATGTGGTAACTGCAATCCATTTGCGAAAGAAAGTCTCTTCCTTGTTGGGACTGGTCAGCGGTGCGTAAGGGATAGGGGCTTCAAGTCCCAGCCTGAAAGGTAGCGACTTGAGTTCCGACAATAACACAAAAGGTATGCGCTGCCGATGCGCTCTAACAAGTGAGGAGATAGTCGTCATTGCCACATAAACGGAACAATCATCGAAAACAGCTTTTAAAGAAAATACTTTCGATACTTTTTCCCAGACCAATACGAATCTAATTGAACAAATTCTAGCAGCACAACAATGTTGAAAAACGATTACCTTGACATTCTCAGAATTCTAGTCACCTAGATTGGTCTTCGTAATAAAATGGAGCATTAGCAAGAGATATGTGGTATTCTGACTATGGTCAATGCTACGTCACCCATACACCGCTCAGTCAACTGAGGATGAAATGAAGGTTTAAAAGCAATTTGTCTCACACAACAAGTCGCGTTGATACTTACCTGAACAAAGAACTCCTCCAGTAAACAATCTAGCCATGGATCAGCCACTGCGGTTGGTCGAACCTCGTTCGAGATGTCACATGTCTTCAACAGAATAAGTAATAATGTCAGTCTACTATCCGAATCATCAGCCAATCGGGAGCGAAGCTGCTCCACATGATCCAGTGGTCGACCGTCATCATCCTCGCTAACTGGGCACCGCTCCACTGATGAGACAGACGCATCGAAACCGGTGGGAACTAGTTTTGGAAGAACTGCGCGAAACTGGTCGACACAATCTTTATGTGTAGCCATATCTGTAGCCAGGACGCATCTGGAATTAAAATGTGATACAGCTTTCAATGGAAAACTTCCGTGTAAACAACTCTGTTGAAATGCACGAGCAACACTCAAGGGAGAGCTGAGCTCAGGGATGGAAGAGTTTGATCGACAAAAACTATCAATCATTCGAATAAGGGAGTGTGCGTTTATGCCAGAACAATCGAACGAGTTACTTTACTTGGTAAAATTTCCTGATTGCATGATTTCGATGCACACTATCGAGACTCGATTCCCCTGTGTTTGACTGTTAGGACATTAAGTCTGGTCTCGTCAGCCTTTTGGTGTTGATAAAGCCAAACTGCGACAATTCTGCAAGAATGTGCTTTCTATCTTAGTTCCGAAAAGCATAGATGTACCCCGGAAGGGGCAAATCGATCATCACAGCCAACCTCTAAATTGATCAAATCGTTTCCAACAATTGATCATTCTATAAACAATTAGTTTGAATCAGTAGGATTCGCTTCACTGGACGATTACCAATGACCATTATTTGGGGTTCCTGAAATCTAAAGGTGAAAGGACATGACAAACATGCAACTTACCGAATCACGGCTTTGCGGAACCATTGATATTCGGCTGGGCTGAGACCAACGAGAATATTGGTGGCTGGAATGGAAACCAAATCGAATGCGACCGCACAATGATGATTCTCCAGTGGTGAAATATCGTTGTAGCGTAACGCAAGCCACGAACGGCGATTCACCTGACCCAGAATAATAGAGGAGGGGCAAGGGAAATGAGACAAAGAAATAAGACTTCGTCTGAAATGACATTATACACAAGAGAGAAAGTTTCAAAAACGTGAGCCAGCCATTAAGGAAATACTATAGAAAGCAACCACCCTTAAGTAGTGACCAAGATGACTCAAAGGATGAAATAACAGCTCGAAATAACGAACCGAAGAAAATAACTCAAGAGATTGACTGCGAGCTTAGGCGACCACAACCAAGATAAAACCTGTGAAATCCTATTACTTCGCACTGTTCCGAAAACCCAGTGAGCATTTGACGCTTGATTTAATCACACATCCCACCACAAAGTGCGTCAGTGAATAAACCTAGAATTGACTATCTACCGTGAGATACCACACTCAGAAAGCAGAATGATAAGATAGTTCATTGATGGAAAACTACCCTGTTTTACGGCTTTTTTGTCGGACTGTTGAGGTTCTCAGATGAGATACTTCTTAAGTCATATACCCACTCTCGTCCTGCGAGAAAAGCTACATCTATAGTACCACTACCGAACTTTATCTTCTCCTCGTTATACTAAATACGATATCTGCATTGGTGCACGTCTTCTGGAAATATCCCTGGTTGCGACAGATCTGCCTGATGCACTGCATCTTCGCTAACATCTGAGTTCTGTCTCGACACTGCTGAAAGCATTTGAAAGAATCATGTTAAACCAAATGAACCCCTTGTCTGACGCACATGACAACCTTTCACTTGCTTACAAACCTCCATTTCTCATCATTCATGCAGTTGCTCATGTTATTGATTCTTTAGCAATCTTTGGATAAACTTTTAGGCACCGCACATAAAAATTTTCAAGATTATGGTTATGCCTTTGCATCGCTTGATAGTTGCATTCTCGTGCAAGGAGTTTTATATTGCGACTTGTGTTCAGTGCTCTGATCAATTATTTCTCACATGGGGTAAAATTCACCTTTTGTAAAGGCAAAACTTCCTTGTCTCTAGAATCCAATTCTGGATGCAATTTTGTCTCCGTTCTGCATATAAACAAACTCTTTCTCTTTCATTTTATTGCGTTCAGTTTATTGCGTGCTAGTACGTTTTTCACTTGATAATTGGGTCTATACACTAGTCCTAACATCTCTTATCAACTCTAATATTGCCCAGTTCGAATTTTTAGTTCGTCTTTGTCCGAGTCACTGTTCTCAAAGTTTTCTCGGTAGCTTCAGAAAGCCCCACCCCCAGGCTCCCTTTTTAGTAATTCTCCCGAACTTGTTGTTGACAGTTGAAGGATTCCCAAAACTGGCTCGGGAACGCCTCAAGCGTCAACTTTTCACGTAACCAATGAATTTTCACACCTTATATACTTCAGCGTGTTTGTGCTGCCCGCCCCCCTTTTTCCTAATGGCTCAAAAGGCTTGATCCTAATTTTAGGATCTTTGTATTCTTCTCTCCCCTTGCACCGGTATTCCCAACACCTTTGATGATATATGGGCAAACAAAACCGGCGCACGAAAGTGCATGGTCAATGGTTGTAAAAACTGAAACTGAATGTATGTAAGCACATTGTCAACCGCAATATGTCTAATGAAGACCACTGTCGCATGTTGATCTTCAATGTGTGTTTTATCTCCGTACTCATGTCAAACTAAGGCTTATCTGTACATGGATCCATACTCAGATAAATGGGAAAACCGGCAATATGAACCTAATCGATTGTTTCTATTTCTTACATTTGTGTCACCTAATACTACTGTTTACGCTCCAAGTGTACCTTTATCCACTGCACCAAGCTGACAGGGCGGAAGATTCATTTCGAAATTATAAGTACAAAGCTCATCCTGACTTCGTTTGACCGATTTGTAGGTTTTCCGCGGATTAATCGCTCGCTAAATCCTCCTAGATGTTACTATCTATAAACTGAAACAACATAATGATACTTCACCCAACACCCTAGTTGTAGAAGTGGTGGTGTACTGAATGCCGTAGTCTGGAACGAAATAGAGCCCCGTATTATTTTCATCGAGCCATGGACTAGAAAAGATCCTCTGCAAGTTGTCTGAAAAATCTCAACGGAGAACAGAAAAATCGCCGACCGATTTCGGGAAAACAGGAGTCATCGTAATCCCTCCGCCGACTCCTCAGTCGAAGTGACTTTAATCTACATGCCAGCCTAATACAGAGGCCCTGGGATGTAATCGATATCACTCATCTCGACTGTCCTCTGGGTGTTAGAATACTGTGAGCTGTAAGTATGTTTGAGCGGGGTGCGGATGGGGCAAGCGGATAATCTACGTTACAAAGCCATTTGGATTTCATCTGCGTGTGAATGTATGCGGTGTGAGTGGGTGGGTGATAAGGCAAGAGTTCGTTTGCCACAGGCCGTTATTTGTCACCCCCAGAGGGAGACAGACAGCCAGGCGGACATACAGACTGACGCACTAAACGGACAGGTTACTAAGCCATCACTACCACGGAACACTGTATAGGTTTGTACCAGGCGACATGCCTGAACCTCCACCCCGCCCATTTCGAGATAGGTCGAGTCGTGGAGGCGAATGACCGAGAACCACACGCTAGTTGTGGTCTCGCCCGAGAGAAACGATACGCCCGCGTCACACCTACACGACCACAGCTCCGTTTGCATAGCGCGCGTAGGCACGCACATACATGCACACGAACCCACGTCCAAGTACTGCTACGCCCTTCTGACGTCAACAGCTAAAGTGACGTAAAGCGGGCGGACAGCGAGGTAAGCAGACAGGCTAGGGTACCAAGGCGAATCAAACTACGTACATAGCCAGGTTTTGAGTTTACACAAAAGCTCGATAACAGCCTCAACATACACAGACACACAGGTAGGCAAGTGACCATTCACACATGCGAATGCAAAGGAGAAAGAAGCGAATACAGACGCACGCCAATAGGGAATCCGGATAGGCGAGAGAGAGAGAGAGAGAGAAAAAAAAAAGCAAAAAACGACACCGGTTCAACGGGATCGATAGCATACAAAACGCGCGCCGAGGATGCACGAGAACGAATTGACGTCAATGACCCAATTTTAGGCTATTGTCTATTATCTCCGTCACGGTCATCTTCTCTCTCTTTCGCCTTCCGTATTTCTGTCTTCTATGCCTTCCTCCAACCCTTTGTGATCCAGAACGCAACAGCACCAACAAAACAACATATGCGTGAGGTGGAGCAATATAATCACACACATACAGAGAGAGAGAGAGATCGGTGCCCCTCATATAATTCAGTCAGAAGATGGAGATTGTCGCCGTATGGATAAAATGTGGACCATATGGACCCGAACGCATGGGCTAAGCTGCATTTCGTGAACAGGGTGGGGATCAGGGTATGATTTAGATAAACCAAAGGCGGATAGCCTAAATGACGCCAGATGGTTATTTGGACTGGATGCCAGTACAATTGCACCGGGAGAAGACTCACAAATCAGCATTAAAACGTCGCAATATGAAGAAAAGAAAACCTACGCGTGGACTCAGAAAAACCAAAAAGAGAACAGATGTTGAAACACGGGAAAACGTGCCATAGATGTTGTATCAGTCTGGTAGATTATGGCACGATTTGATGCATCTTGCATAGTACATGACCCGGTATTTAGCGAACGACATACATTCGCTTTAATGTTGTCATGCGAATACACCTCGCACTAATAGATAACACAGTTGGCTAAGTGACTAATGTGAAACAAACTTCTGTAATCTTATAAACAAATCTCGTTCGATAATTTCCTTCGTTTGCGGTCCTAATAACCATTTACAGATAGGTAATATTCTCCATAAATCCGAGTCACCGCAGCGGTTCATTTAAGAGGATTTTCTAATTGACAGGGGACATTAAATTCGAATTACATATGTACGTGTAAGAACAAGGATAATTGCGCATCGGCTGCTCTTTTTAGCCATCGACCGTCTCAGGTGGGGGGAAAGTGGGTTGCTTCAAACCCATGCTAGTACATCTAAAAACCAATAGTGTATTTACACGGGCCGAAGTAAAAAAAAAAAGTAATCCCATCAAAACATTGGGAAAAAAATCAGAAACGAAAGGCATTCATGAACAAAACACAGTAACCATGTTTCTCAAGGAATAGGTATGCGAGTCGTAAATGATAGCACCCGGCTCACCTGATAAGAATTTGTAAAACCAGGATGATCCAAATCGTGCGACAAGGCAGAGAACAAAAGTACCAGTAGATCGAGTGGTGCAAGATAGCTCGGAAGATCCACCTGTTTGATGATAGTGTACATCTAAAACAGAAGAAAAGGAACGCTGAAGAGCAAATAACATCATAAGAATCACTAACAGGTTATCACAATCAACAATGATACTCTCTTCGAAATAAAACACAGACGGAAGTTTTCTGGAGCGACCGAGGTAGTGTATGATGAAAATAATAATTTCACTGAATTTTTTAATTTACTGGATAACAATCAAAGGTGGCCTGGAGGCAGACAGAATCAGGAGAGATGAGTGTTGGTGGCAGGATTCGAAGAGAAGAAATGAAAATCTCTGTAATGACGAACATAGCCATTAGACGACCGCTCTGAACACGGTTTCACAACTTAGCTAGTGAAAAGAACACACCAAAAGGCTTTCAATTGCGTCCGGTCTTCAACTCGAATCTTAAGGGGGCTGAGAAACATCCTGAAAATAAATTCATTAGTTACTGAATACGTTTTCAAATGAAGAGAATTCTAATCTCATTACATCACACCATGAAGACCTTAAAACGAAAACAAAGCTCGTGTCTTCTGTAAGTATATATCAATATATATATATCAACCCATCAACAGGCGTATGCACGCACGCACGTGCACACCTACCATTTGAGTGACCATAAACGCATGCTTGAAATTGTGGAAAGGAACATCATTGTATCGTCGATAGACTGCCAGTATCCACGTCTCCAGTACTTCAACAGGGAAGTGGCATAACTGTGGCAAATTTAAATCCAGGAACATGAATTTCAGATAATGGATCAGCTGCGCGTCGGAATGTAGCCAATTATTGAATGTATGGGAGCTCAGTGATGTTTTAATCTTGTCCGCAATACGTGAATATCTGTCAATAATGGAAGAACCCGGGTAATGCATACAATTAGCATATGTAGTACGAAGATAAGATAATATTTACGGGGAAAAAGTCGCTTTGTGGACAAACACACATACAGGAAAATGAGTAATTCATCTCCTGGTACTTTAAATGATTACTTATGGCGTCATACTGTACTAATAAAAACTCAAATGATTTGTTAATACACGTCCGATATTGACATTTTAACATGCAAATGAGGATTAGGATACTTCAACTGTGAGAGGCACTAACGACCACGTGGCTCAATTGGACCACTTGCTTCTTATCTGCACATCTGTCTCACGCTTATTTTGTATAATTATCGTCTGAGATCCAACCTATCAAGGCTATCGAATCCCGTCTGAGTTCTGAACTGCATGCATGTATGCAGTAAAGTGCTTTGCGGACACAACTATCATGCTACTCACACAAGAAGATATCAAATACATACATTCCTCTAAAGAACTGTTACTCAACTAATATATCCAATGCAAACACCAAACGGGCCAAATGTGTCCGCGATGAGAGTGAAAAATTGAAGATAGAATATGTATCAAAATCCGGGATTCAACTAACCCATCGTGTCTGCTTATTTGTGGATATTCGCAGGGAATACTGGTAAATTAAATCCCACTCACAGTTTTCTAGAGCATATGAATTGCGAGGAGTCTCATGATGTCCGGGTTGATCAATCAGATTGAAGGAAGGTACAGTGAAGAAACACCAGCACTTAAAATGGTCCTGGGAAGTCCGGTTTTCCCTTTAAAGTATTCACTGCATGCAAGAGTACTGATAGACAAAAATTAGAGGAAGCACTGTTGATTACAGTGGTTCACTTTCATACGCACATATTTATCTTACATTCGTTTTTACCTTGTATGTCCTGATAATATAGCATTGTTGGAAGCGGTTCTAAATTTCAAACAAAAATGAACTATAGTACCCACTGGTTTGACAAAGTGCAACAATGATTTAGTACAAAAACAGCAACAACAGCAAAAATGCTGACCTGCTGGGAAACCTTAAAAGGATGAGTAGACAATCGTTTTGTAGAGAAGAACGAAGCATAGTAAAAAGAAACAGTGAGGGAGAAAAACGTGAAGAACAAAACAAACAAATAACCGAGAAACCGATCGTTGTACTTTCAGGAAATCTTTGTTCGTAAGTTCGTATATCACTTACTGTTCACTTGCACCTGAACTCATTAGTTCAGTCTCAGCGTACACAACCATTACCGTCTCACCCTCAAGCAACGGATCACCTTAACTGGATAAACTGTCATCCTTGAAGACATTATTTAGATGATTGTGCAAGGAACCCATCAGTTAATCTTATGTGGGTTTGGTTATCGTGATCGAATGCGCATTGAAGATTTTAAGCTCAACTGGAATAACTGCAAGATCTGATGAAAATGATCAGTTAATCAGCTTAACCCTTCGAGTTTAAACGGTAAAGAAAGTGTCATATACTGCAAAGACAATTATCTATCATGTGATATAAATACTCGAATGATGCTATCGTGACTGGAAAGACAGATTGATTGATTATAAATATGGCACTAGCAAAATTGCAGACAGTGGCATCCAGTGATTAGTTGACTAATGTGCAGTATGGATAAAAGAGAACGATTTCTGATTTCAGATCAAAATGAACAAGTATTGACATCCGAGAAGTCTGTTGGGCGGGATGCATGACCACAGTCAACCAGGCCATCGATGAGCACTAGCCTATCAGGTCAAGTGTCTTCGCAAACTGCTCTTTGTAGCACGTGTTCAATTTGATTAATTTTGCTCATTTATTCTGCACACATTAACCGATTTGAGGTGTTCATCAAAAAAGCAAGACGACGAAGGGTTGGTAAGATCAATCAACGAAAAAGTTCAAACATAATTTTCATGGATAAGAATCACCTATTTCAGAAATTACTGGCATTGGTAAGATAAATATTGTGGGTATAATAGTCCTTCTATTATACAGCGAAACTGAAACGCATGAACTGAAAACATTAGGCCACACGGAGACAATGCTATATGAATGATGTAACAAAATACCTAATATTAATTTGCATCTGTATTTTTCCATTTCTTGCTTCTTTATTGTACATCTTAGTATGATGAAGGAGTAAAGCAGAAACCCATGTAGTTGGGGGTATCGTTTTTAGTTGAGATCCGGTAAGCTGAGCCTTGAAATTTGCAAACAAGAACGATGTAGTAACCAGGACGATATTTTTAACAATAAGGTAGTTTTTTTGTTTTTATTGTATTTTTCTGTGATGAACAGCTGACGGAGTGGACCTCATGGTAGCGAAGACCTGTTGTTCAGTGATCAAAAACAGTAATCTAAGCCCCGAGACTTGAAGTGGTGATCCACATAAGGGCCCACGAGGTTAGGCGTGGTATTGAACCGGACGACAGGAACGCTGCATCATCACCGAAGTTGGGCGACGGTGGCGGGGCTCAAACCTCGGACCATACGGTGTGGTAGTGCCAGAGTTTAAACGTCGTATCTTCAGGGTCCGAAGCAAGTCAGTGGTAGTAAATTACATGTATATGAAGTGCGCATTACTGTTTGACTAACTGGTATCACATTGATATAAATAATCACACAAATCGACAATCTCGGAAAGCGTCCAGAAAAGGGTGATCGATTAGCTGATAATGATCCAAGTACTCTACAGACGACCGTATTGCCTCTGTATAATTGAACACAATCAAAAGAACAACCTATCACATAAACCCGCTAAAAATACAATCTATTGTTTTAAAGAAAATAAGCACATCATAATGCATCCGCCGTCAAGATATATCCAGTAGCTTGTAGTGGATACACACAAGATAATAATTGATGGAAAGTTTCAGTTTCAGTCTGTCCAACCATCAATCATGCACTTTCATGCG